AGGTAAATGTATTATATTCAGTGAAGACACAAGCAAAGATATCTATAGCGCAGATACATCAGCAGCTTCTTGTTCATTCACTGAGCTTCTACAAGCCTGAAAGAAGGTAGATGTATTATTTTTAGTGAAGACACAAGCAAAGATATCTATAGCGCAGATACATCAGCAGCTTCTTGTTCATCCACCCGAGTGGTGGCGCACCTGTGAACTGTTCAAATGCAAGCAAAATAAACAACCCGCAGTTGTAGTTGTCCAATTGAATCCCCATGTCGGATTCGTACGCTTGCACTCGAAACCTTTCTCCCGTGGTTGTCGCTAGCATAGGTGTAAGTCGTTCTGCTACCACTCGAACGCTGGCCACGTAGCTTGATTTCATTGGATCGTAGATATACACGATACGTTTTGCGATGTCGATCATAATAGCACACCAATGGTTCGAATTGCAGCTGATCGGTATGAGTACACACTCCCCAGTAATTGTCGACAGAATGCTCTCGACAGTCTCAGCATCCATTGAAATCTTCCTTCCCACAACCCACCCAAACAAATTTGGGGTTATCACCACCACTCACTCGCGGGTTGTTTGAGTATAGTTTTTTCTTAAGGTGGAATCGCTAAAATTTCCCCGTCCGACAAGATCTAATAGGTCAAACTAAAACAATTAAGTTATTATTGAGAGCTATCATAAAAATATGGTAGGTGTCTTACCTCATTTGACTGTAGACGCGTGTTTTTTAGGCCTTCCAGTAGTCGTTTATCTTCTTCCACGATGAACCACGGGTCGACCTCAGTCCCAAAATCAATAGTCGTAGCCCAGACAGTAGCTTTGTCAATCTGAGCAATAGCATCCATCGCTCTGTGATAGTTCCTCATTGTAGTCAGTGCTCCAGCTGTAAACACACCAATACTTGGCACTTCAAGAAGTATATCCACCTCTCGGAGACCGTAGTTCTTCCCTTGGAAGGCCGATAACTTCTTGCTGCACTTACGCAGCATATCTTTAGAAAGAATTCGCGATATATCTTCGTCTCTTAGTACCGTCTTCTTCCGTGATAGTTTGCTTTTTTGGTGGGCGATTGGCTGCTTGGTTTGTTTTTTCTCCAAAATAAAACAGCGGTATTGTCGGAGTGTCGTCTCTGCAGAATTGAATGTGTGGTCTTCATGTAATAGGGCGGAGAGCACCGATAAATCCAGCTTCATTTGATGCATGTTTGAATCGTGGTAAACTTTGGAGATTTCGCGATTCTTCTTGGCTTTCTTTGCGGATGCTTTCTGCTTTGGCCTACCACGCGGTCGGACTGGACTTGCAATTTCAAAATCATCCGTAGTTTCGACAGGCTCTGTAGTGTAGTGAGTATTTAACAGCTGTACAACTGCGCTCAATGCTCCAGACTCAGTCGGTTGCAGCTCGTCCGTAGTCGGGCATAGGTGGGGCACAGTCGGGGGCTGATTTAACTCAGTTGAGGGAAGTGTTGGATTCCCCGGTGGTTCATCTGTCACAGTCATCGGTTCTGGCAACGTAGTTGAGACTTCCTCGAGCTCCGGTGGTTCGAACGCAATCGGGAACTCGTCAGACTCAGGCGGTGGTTGGTCGGGCTCCGGCGGGACCTCTTCAGCCTCGGGCGGGGGAGCATCAGATTGTAGCTGAGTCTGGACACACTGAGTGTCTGAAACTAGGCGATCCATTTCATGAAACTGTCGGTGCTTGAAAAGTTCAGCGACAGTATTCAACACTCGAAGAGCATCTCGGTACTCACGCATTCCCAGACTGCTCATTGTACTCGTGATAGCGTTTGCGACTTGGTTAGCTTCGCGAAACTTGCGATTAGCATCCCAAGCATTTGGCTCGGGTCTAACAATCCGTCGTATGCGAAAAGCCTTATCGGGTATGGTGGGAACTGTAAATGATGCTCGTAATGTTGACAGCAACCATCTCGGATGTAGCTGAGCCGGGATTATAGTCTCCTTCTTCAATGCCTTGCGCAAGTATAACACGTGTCTACAAGGAAGCAGCCGTGTACTCATGAACATGTACGAGCATCGCCATTTCCCGTGTCCACATTGTACTCTTGATTGAGCTCGTCCAACGCATCGTCGTCGTGAGTCGTGTTCTTGATAAACATCACACCAGGAATTCCTTCGTAGAAACTGTATGTAGCACGCCCAACTGCATATGCGTACTGTTCAAAAATCAAATTGCAAGCGTGCTCGCTGACTAGATTTGATACGTAGTGCAATTCTTTGTCGTATGAGGCGTGGTGGATAACACCAATCTTGAACATTCGATTTACGAAATCTTTTTCTGCGAGCGATTGGTAGTACATCAAGGACGCTATACATTCGTCCAGCTGCATGAAAGAGTTCACGATGTCTTTAATTTGTTTCCACGAGGCCTCTAGACGATTGTTCGTGTTGTTTCCCAGCGTAACAGCGTTTTGGCGTTTTTAGAAGCACCATTTGCCCCTGCAATTTTCCCAATTTCGTTTGAAATTCGATTCGAAGGGATGCAGTCTCGCTTCTAGGTGATCCTCCTCCTCTTCATCTTCACGCTCAACCAGACCGGAACCGCAACCGACAGGCTCTACACGATGCCCGACTGCGTCTGCAGCGTGCTCGACTGAGTCGGTAGTGTGCCCGACTGGAGCACTATCTCGCTCGACGCCTCCCACAGTGATGACTTGGTGCATGTAACGTCGGTGCTTGTTGTACTCTCTCTCGCTTTTTGCATACACCAACAGGGAGACGATACCTCTCAACTGTTCTTTCTGCCACGGATTAAACCCGTACTCGTCGGCCTTGGCGATCTCCTCGGATAGGTACTTAATTACGTGAAACTGGCAGAGTAGAATCTTGACCCCAGGGAAAGCCGCCTCCAGCACACTCATTTCGGTAAAGTCCTTGTCAATGATGACACACTGCAGCCGCTTCGTAGCAGGATTGTTCAGTTTGAATTCTTCGATGGCTGCTTCCAGGGTTTCCTTCCGCTCATTCTGGACTAAGGCGTGCTGCACGTACTGCCCTTTACCAAAGGTGTCATAAATCATGAAGGAAAATACCTTGTACTTCGGTACGTTTGTTCCGTGTGTAGCATCGATAAGTAAGACCTCCGGAAAACGATCGTACAGATACCGCATGTGTTTTGTCTGCATTGTTATGCACGTAGCAATTTTCTGAAACAGCAAAAGGATTATAAGCGGTGGTATGAATAAATATCTGATCGATCATCGTTTACCTTGCTTTGTTGTGCCTCTACAAAAATTCTGCCCACGTTGCCGTTTTCTCCACAGAAATCCATCATCCACGCTTTCAAACGTTGGGCACTAGTTGTTGATTGGGTTGATTGATTCTTCAGCTTTCGTACCAGATTGTGTACATCCCTTATCGTCGGTGAACAGTCGGAATTCTCAGTAATAAACTGGTGAATGCTCTTCTTTCCTGCACCGGCCTTTTGTAGAACCCCCACGGTTTGCAGAACACTCTCCCCAACTGCTGTTCGGTTAATTGGGTAGTTTTGATACGTTGTCGAATCAACCAAGTGATTATGGGTCGTTCTCATCTTCGTAATACATACAACAAACTTGTGAGCTGATTTATCCACTTCTCGAACGCAGGCATTAATCTAAAAGACATTACAACGTTAGTGTGCTTGTATTATCCGCCAGCACCCGCCAGCACACACTAGGACCCGCCTGTATCTGCCAACACCCGCCAGCACCCACCAGCACCCGCCAGCACCCGCCAGTGGATGGCTTACCTGTGTAGGACACTCGATCGAGCGAGACTCTTGACGTGCTCTCTTGCCCTTCCCACGCGGCTTGAGCTTTCCGGCGTGGGTGCACCCCAGCGTCTTGGCGTACCATTCCCATGTCTCCGGAATAGGTGTAGATTTGGAGCCCGTACGCTGGATAACGGCGTTTCTTTCGCCAACCTTCTTGTTTGTTCGAAGTCTGAACACCTGGATATCAATAGGCTTGTTAGAGAAGGTCATATACTAAGCAGACCAAATACACCTTACCTGGTACGTTATCGCTTGGTATGTGCGGATGTACGTGTCGAACGCATCCCACGACTCGAAGACGGTGCGGCCAGGAAGGGGAGAAGTCGAATGCTGAGGATGAAGGTCTTCCGAGCGGCTTGATTTGTCTGAATGCTCCGTCGAACTCGACGTCGTGCCTAGCGCGAGCTCGCTTCCGTCACTAACGCTGTTCTCGTCATCTACGTTGTAATCGCTGTCACTGTCCGATTCAGGGGGCACACGTTTCCGCGCCGACCGTCGCATTCGCTCCGCCGGGTTCATTGGCTTCCGTCGATCGGGGGGGGGGGCGGGAATGCGTAATGAGTGGTTTGCATACACGTATGCATACACGTATACGTCGTTCGGATAGCTGGGAGGTCCGGAGCGATTTGAGACAAGAGCGTTCGTAGAGCGTCCATTTTTTTCAAATCCTGAAGAGTCTCCACAGGCGGGGGTTCCAACCACTCTCTTTGAATAAAGAGGGGTCCTGTGAACTGCCGCTCACTGAGAGTTTGTATACTCTCGGAAGCTAGCTTCCTCTAGCGCAAGGTGCTGTGTGACCCCGTCACAGTTGAATTGCTCCCCGTAATAACTATACTGACCTTTTTATTGGTAAAAAGTGGCAGCAGCAAGCCGGTGGTCGACCACAAATGACTGGTTCATACGAGAGCAAGCAAAGACATCGACCACTCTATTGGAATTAAGCAACCCAGATAATCTGTTCAGCCAAGGGTAGTCCAGAACCTCAGAGACCTTTATTTTAAATATAACATATTTCGGGTCGAATTTAGCTAATAGGAGGTCATATACTTTGGCGGCTCATTTTGATTGGCGATGGATCCTATCCAAGTCATTTAGTAGCTGGTGCCGATGTTCCGGTGGCCGCTGGAGTCCAGCCTGGACATGTACAGTACTGTACATGTACACCGGTATGTGCGACTAGCGCGGGCCGCGTACTGTCTCAAGCTGGCACAATCGTCTCTGATCAGTCCGGGTCAGATGATGGCCACTCGGCATCGGCAATGTCGTGCATGTCCAGCAGGTCCAAACACTCGTCCACCGTGTCGTATTTCTTGCTATCCGGGATGCTGCTGTCCTGACGTAGGAACGCACTGAAGGTAAGTGCCTCACGCATCGTAGAAGCCTCCGAGTGGACGTACATCTGCTCACAGTAACCCGTTGCACGTCGGATAGCAAGGTCGTTGGCTTCATAGCCGTTCAAGAAGATCTTGCCGTGGATTGTACCTTCAGTCTTGCGACCAGCAATCACGTCATCAATGTCGTCTTGCCTGCACCAGTGGATCCCATCAAGGCCGTCAGAGTACCAGGCGTTGCATAGCCACTGATTCCTTTGAGCAAGTCAAGAGTCTCCTTCGTATCGGTCGGGTTCGGTACCGAATACCACAGATCCGTGAATGCGATAGACACAGGGGTGAAGCTCTTCTCACGCCGCGGGACAGCCACCATAACCTCGTCATGCGACGTGTCTGAGTTCGAGTCGTCTGTGCTCTTCACCTTTGGCGTCATGGCTAGTGCGTAACCTTCCTGCGCTTCATCTTCAATCTCCTTGTGCAGCAACTGAATGTTCGTCGGAGCCAGATAGCGACGATACTCCAGGAGATACGTGCTGACAGCCAACAGGAACACGTAGAAGAGCGAGTTTTTGCCAGCGGTTTTGCAACGATGTTCTATGATATGGCGTAGATACATGTGCTGTTGTTGGGGGCCAGCGCGGTCGGCTCGCTCGCTGGTGTACGTGTCGATTGTTGAGCAGCAGCGACGTCGACGGCGTGACACGCCGCGTGTGGTTGACGCGCACATGACATGCATCGACGAGCGCAGATCCCACTCTAATACGCGACGTGAGAGCAATCGGACGGACCCGATTGCTCGCTCTTCCGCCGCGCAATCGGAATGACAAGCTTGCTCGCCCACGCTGTTGTCTTTGCAGCAAACTCCTTTCACATTTGAAGTTGCTCAGTCGAGAGCAAGACATCCACTAATCGTACGCGTTGACAACCCGAGCAGCCACTGCTTTGGTCGAGGACACAGACTTACGATGGCAGCGAACCGGCACCCCTCAACCTGGAGTCGGGCAAGACCATGCTTGAGCGCGGCCCCGAGGCGCTCAACCGCTACCTAGCGTCGAGCTTCGAGCCATCCATCGGTAGCGAGATGCCGCAGCTGGAAGTGCGCTACAAGAATCTGTCGGTGACAGCCGTGTTGGAAGTGCAAGATGTGCACGTACATCGACTCCAGAGTAGTATCCTATGTTACGGCACATGGAAGGTTCTAGAAGGATCTAGGCATAGTGATAGGTCTTAGCTAGCGGATGGTTGGTTAGTTCTCACTTCGAGATTGGTAAAGCCACTGACGAGGCCCCGGCGGGGGCCGAAACGCGTCTGGCACGCGTTCAATCCAAGTCATTCACATCTACTCGATTCTACATTTCCTACAGGTTATGAGCCCAAACGGCTTGGTATGGACACTGCGGTGTACGCGGAATACGCGCTGGGGGAGTTCACGCTCAAGTCGTCGCGGAAGCAACGGGCTCCGACGACAGGGGGAGCGGAACATACAAGTGCGCGGTGGACACGCAGTCGCTCTTTGCGTTCGGGAAAAGGACGGCCGAGTTCTGCACAAGGAGGTGGTTTCGAGTGGTGTGAGTGGTGGATCGAAAGAGGTCGATCGAGAAGGGGAACAACAACAAGCTCAAGCAAGGCTCAAGGACGGCTACAAGGCGTCAAGGGACGACGTGGTGGTGAACATGAGGAAGCCGGGAAACCTAGCGAACGCGGCAGCAACGGATACGCTGGCCAGCGCGCAGGTGGTAAACCCTACAAGAATGTATGCAGTGAAAAGGCTGCAGCTGACAAGCATCATGCGGAGAGCAGCAGAATGGCTGTACGCTCGTGACCAAGACGGCTACGACTCATGTCGTCGAGGGGGAGTGTTGGAAGTGCAAGATGTGCACGTACATCGACTCCAGAGTAGTATCCTATGTTACGGCACATGGAAGGTTCTAGAAGGATCTAGGCATAGTGATAGGTCTTAGCTAGCGGATGGTTGGTTAGTTCTCACTTCGAGATTGGTAAAGCCACTGACGAGGCCCCGGCGGGGGCCGAAACGCGTCTGGCACGCGTTCAATCCAAGTCATTCACATCTACTCGATTCTACATTTCCTACAAGCCGACATCACGATCACCGAGGATGTGACAGCCAAGTCGGAGATCCCGACGCTGTACAACACCGGTCGCGCGATCACTGGCGCGAATGTCGCCCATGCGACGTGTGGTGCGCAAGGAGGTCATCAAAAACGCCAGCGGTGTGTTCAAACCGGGCACCATCACGTTGGTGCTAGGTCAGCCCGGCTCCGGCAAGTCGGCGCTGATGAAGATGCTGTCGGCGCAGTTCCCCGTGGAGAGCAACATTACCGTTGAGGGCGAGATCACATACAATGGCGTGCCACAGAAGGATATCATCAAGCGCGTACCTCACTTCATCGAGTACGTGCCCCAATGCAGACCAAATCATTCGCGGCAGCTCGCAGGAGCAGATGAAGCGTCTAACAATCGGAGTGGAGCTGGCTGCTCAACCGAGTATCCTGTTTTTGGACGAACCTACGAGCGGTCTGGACGCTCACTCGGCCAAGGTCATCATGGACGGTGTGCGTAAGGTGGCAGACAGCGGCCGTACGATCGTGTGTACCATTCATCAGCCGTCATCCGATGTGTTCTTCTTGTTCGACCACTTGATCTTGCTCAAGCGTGGCGGCGAGTCGGTGTTCGTGGGTGAGTTGGGCACGCGATGCCAGAAGCTGGTCAAATATCTGGAATCGGTTCCTACTGTCAAGCCGTGTCCACCCAAGCAGAACCCTGCTCCGTGGATGCTTGAAGTGATCGGTGCCGGTGTGAGCAACGAACGCGCCCGTGACTTGGACTTCGTGGACATTTTCTCGAAAAGTGAGGAGAAACGCCACTTGGACGACATGCTACAGCAGCCTGGTATCACGACGACTTCACCGGAGTGGCCGGAGGTGACGTTCATGAAGAAGCGCGCTTCCAAGGGCTCCACTCAAATGTACTTTTTGATGAAGCGATTTCTCAACCTGTACTGGCGTAGTCCGGCGTTCAACCTGACCCGTTTCGGCATCGTGTTTGGCGTTGCTATCATCTGCGGTCTGGCGTTCCTGAGTGTGGATTACACGACGTACAGCGGTCTGGTCGGTGGTGTAGGTCTGGTGTTCATGTCGACTTTGTTCATGGCTATGGCTGGCTTCATGGGCACGTTACCAGTGTACTCGACGGACCGTTCAGCGTTCTACCGTGAGCACGCCGCCGAGACGTACAATTCGCTGTGGTATTTTGTCGCAACGACGGTGGTGGAGATCCCGTACGTGTTCGGACAGTCACTGCTGTTCATCGTCATCTTTTACCCGATGGTAGGTTTCGAGGGATTCGCTACGGCCGTGCTGTACTGGGTGCACGTGTCGTTGTTCGTGCTGGGTCAAATGTACTTCGCACAGCTGCTGATCCACGCGTTCCCGAGTATCGAGGTGGCTGCTGTAATGGGCGCGTTGATCAACTCAATCTTCTTGCTGTTCGCCGGATTCAACCCGCCGGCATCGTCGATCCCCGCGGGCTACAAGTGGCTGTACACGATCGTACCGCAGAGATTTTCAATCTCGATTCTATCCGCGCTGGTCTTCTGTGATTGCCCCGAGGAGCCGACATGGAACGAGTCGTTAAGCGCGTACGAGAATGTCGGCTCGAATCTTGGCTGCCAGCCGTTGACGGGTACACCGATCACGATCTCTCATACGACGGTCAAGGGCTACATCGAGTCGACGTTCCGCTACAATTACGATGACCGTTGGGCGAATTTCGGCTACGTGTTCGTGACGATCGCCATTTTCCGCATCCTGTAGATGCTGTCGCTGCGCTACATTAACCACACTAAGAGATAGAAGAAACGAGCGCAGTAAAGATTTTTCTGGTAAGCCTAAAAATAAAATAGAGATGCTTTTGTTAGCAATTGGCTATGCTCCACACAGGTCGAGGAGATAAAAACTGAAAGTAGTAGTAAAATAATCTAGATTTTAATCTTTGTGCTGTTTCTAGTTGCCAGAAACTTGTATTTCATCAGAAGGAAGACAGTCTTTTTGGCTAAATAGTAAAAGTAAATAGTCACATGAAGTCAACTGGTTAGGTTAGTTGTCGAGAGAGCATTTTAATTTTTTAACGATCATTATTAATGTGCCAAATGGATTTATTGTGCTTTGCAAAGCTTTTGTCGTTTACAGTATAAGGCGGCTTTCTTTTCGAGACTGTGACTTACTAAAACGGGGTACCAAACGGGGTACTGGCTTTTAAATTTCTTGGTTTTACTTAAAGTGGTTTATTATCGCCAAAATCGGGTGTCCAAAATTAATTATAAGCAACGACTACAGAGCTGCTACACCAAAGTCTCACCTCACCGAGCCCCAAACCCGCTACAATAACTCCGAAGACTACTATTCCGACGGCTACTAAGTAGTTTGCGCATATATTTATAATCTGGATCTGAGACCCGGGACCCTCCCCCCCCCCACCGTAAGTGGCATTGACTTCTAGTCACAATACGTAAAAGGGAATATCACGGTACTTAGACTTTGAAATAAGCCATACCGAATTGCGCGCGACTTCGAACTACTGTCTGGTAGCTCTCTAGCTTTAGGCAGTGTACTCACCAGGGATGCTGAAAAACTGATGCCTCAATTATTGCAATAAATTATTACTGATTACTTATTGGGAGATGGATATCATTATCTTTTCTCGCCCTGCTAAAAAAGCAATAGCATCATTCCTTAGTACATGGTGCACCAATGCTCTGATCCAATAATATATTTTCAGTGAAGAGAACTTGTAATAATTGAGTGTAGCTCAGCCAAAACCAATTATTTATTCTCAGCTTTGATAAGAAAAAAATAAACATGCAATAAGCGGCATCCTGGTACTCATACTGTATCACCTTGTTTTATACTCGGTTTGCTCTTGAGTAGAAGTACCTCTAAAGCGTCTTGCTTCGTAAATTAGTACAAGCTAAGATAACATGCATAAGGTTCTTGTTGAACTGCAAACAACTGACTTCGCACAGTTCATTCTATGGATTTAATGAAAAAGTGACAATTCATTTCTCGTGTCTTCACTTTATATATCGCTAGGCGCATCGATTGATCTTCGTTTCATTAAATTCTACTTTATGTATGCAGTATTCGCTTCGCGATCGATGTCGGTACACTGATTAAATATTAAATCGTCTGAGAGCTTCGCACATTGCTAACAGAACGAGGTCAATTAAAGAGTGGTGTACTGCACGAGATTTCTAAGGACGTACAGTACGCTACACAGTTTGAATTTACTCGCGTCGACCAACTAGGGCAAGCACAGTGACCTTCTCTTCTTGGCGCTCGACAGCATCAACATTACGATAAATCCATATACCGGTAAATGAATTCATTCATAAACGAGTATTACCACGGAGAGTTAATTGGCCCCCAAAATAGCTACTTTCGACCACTATGAGAAGCTATGAGCTTTCAAAATCCATGAGTACGAGCTGTGAAATTTAAATATTAATACTATTAGTAGTAATTTCACACAAGAATAACTCACTTGACTGGTGTTTAGAAACGTCGGACGAGGATGCCACTTCATTGCTGATCATTGATCAGTACTGTAGGTATCGACCGTCTCGTGTGAACCCAACTCGCCACGTTGTGTATCACTTGGAAAACATGTACTGTACTGTACGTGCACGCGCTCAACGCCCGTCCCAGCCAACGGATCCCGTCAGATGTGCTACCGGTATTAATGTAAGAGTTTTACAGTCGTTTCTAACAGAAAAAAATGCGTAAAAAAGCGGTACGGTTTCAGTAGGAAGCGTCAACAACAGGACAGCTCACACACGTCCCCGACCAGCGCGTAGGCTGGAGGCACGCGTCACAACGGTTTCTTTCCGTAGAGGGCGTCCTGAAGCGGTAACCCCACGCTTACCGTATCCTATTAAAGGTTAATCCACCGCAGCTTGTACAAAAAGACGTGAAATAGAGATGTCCAGCGTAGCAGTCGGATGTGCGCGGTCTCACTGAGCACGAACACCACCCAGGACGGTGAGTCTTGATTTTCATGGCTCACGTGGGTGTACGATCTCATTCCGCAACTTGCCTCCAACTCGACGCATCAACCAAGCACTCATTCGTCATCCTCCGCTGTAAGACTATCGTCGATGCTACCTTCGACTCGATCTACCATGTCGTCAGTAACGATAGCGTTGGCTGTAGCGCTTTTGTCCTCAGCCAATGCACTCACTGACCTCAAAACCGATTGGGAAGCTTACGCCAGTGAGCTCACCATTCCCGAGGTCATTGACATGACTAAAGGCGGCGCCATCGACATGCAGATCGGCCGTTCGACTCACAACTGGACGGAGGACGGATCCATTGCCGGTGCCATTTACGGTTACGCACTCAAGAACTCGACGCCAACGTCGCCTGGACCAACCATTAAGGTTGCTAGAGAAGTACCGATCAACATCACCTGGTACAACGAGCTGGAAGCCCCACACCTCCTCCAAGAAAGCGTCCAGTACACGCTCACGCAACACGCATCTGCATGTTATCCGTACTGCGGCGTACCGGTTGTCACACATGTGCACGGCATGGAGTCACCTGCAAGATACGACGGCCTCCCGTTCCTTTCTATCTACAAGAACCAGTCTCCTACATGAACAATCAGTCTGCATCTACGAAAACGTACCACGATCACTCGAACGGTCTCACCCGTCTCAACACGTGGGCAGGTCTCGTGGGCGCTTACATCATCAGTGACTCCGAGTTGGAGTCGTCACTCAACCTCAACATCGAGACCGATATCCCGCTTATTCTGACGGACCGTCTCATCAGTAATACCGGCAAGATCATGTATTCAGACGACAACTGCAACGAAGGTGCCACCTTGTGGGTACCCGAGTCGTTCGGGTCGGTGAACCAGGTGAACGGTGTCGTGATGCCGTACGTCAACGTACCACCTGCTCAGGTGCGCTTCCGCTTGGTGAATGCCGCCAATGCGCGTCACTACAGCTTAACGATGCCGTTCGCGGACAAGTGCCAAGTGGTGGCCACAGACTCGGGATTCGTTGGAGAGCCCAAGGCTCTGACTGCAGACCTTGTCATTTTCCCGCTCGAGCGCGTGGAATTTGTCTGTGACTTCAGTGGTGTAAAGAATGGCACAATGTACAACCTGGAGGACAAGCAGACGTCGGACCAGGCGACCCCGTATGATAACCGCGTCATGCAGTTCCGAATCCTCGAGAGTTTGAAGACTGATTCTATGTAGGTGAAGGAGATCCCATCTTCCCTGACACCGTACAAGTCACTGAAGGAACTGTACGACGCAGGAGGAAAGGAACGCACCTTAATTTTGGGTGAAACGGAGACGGAAGTACTGTGTCCTACCATGAGTATTCTACTGTACCGTTCGCAACAAGTGAACACATCCGGCATCACGGGGAATCTGCACTGTACCAAGGGTACAGTTGAGAAGTGGAACTTCCAGAACCCACAGATGACCCGCACCCATTCCACTGGCATTTAATCAGCGCGCAATGTGGCGAGACTGAAGAAACGGTGAGCACGAACGAGCTCAAAGACGTCGTCGTCATCCCAAATGCCGGTGACCGTAAGCCAGATACCATTACACAGGTTTGCTACGTTGCTTGCACGCCGGGAGACTATTTGCTTGAGGGTAGCACTCGTGGTGCCAAGGAGTTTAACTTTGACACCACGGACCCGGTACCTAGCCCACTGTCACATTCTTGAACACGAGGAGAATGCCATGATGGCGTGGTTCAATATCCAGGACGTGGATGATGGCTACGCTGACGATAACGGTATCACACCCGGTACAGAAATTACCGATACGGTTATTGCTACTGCCATGGGCATGAGTGTGTTGGGTGGGCTTGCAACGACACTGTCGGTGCTCGTGATCTCCGTGAAGCGTCTGAATTTCCTTGCAAGTCCCTTGGCTCTCTCTGTGGCGTTCGCGTTATCGTCGGGTGTGATGCTGTTTATTGGCCTTGCGGATCTGTTCGAAGAGGCAGTGACATTCTACCGAGCTCATTACACGACCGGCAACGCAGACCCAGAGGCGTACGAGAAGGGTGGATCGGCTAGTACCGGAGTCTGCGATAACACCTGCAACGGCAATGCGTATCTGACCGCCGTGGCGGCATTCTTTGGCGGTGTGGTAATCATCTTGCTAGTGGAGTTCTTGGTACACTCCGTTTTCGAGAGAAAGAAAACTGCCGGCGAGAAGGCGAATGCTGTAGACGTAGGTGAGATTGAAGAAGGTGACAAGGCTGCGTTTGCTTCTCCGGTTCCTGAGAGCCCGGCTAACGGCAACCACAGTGAGCTTCAGAGCCCAGCAACAGCCGAATCATCCAATCTGCTTGAGCAGAACGCCGGTCAGAAGGAGGAATACCGCCGCGCTGGTGTCATGACGGGCATTGCCGTCGCCATCCACAACTTCCCGGAGGGCTTAGCTCTCTTTGTGTCATCGCTCTCTGGGCTTCGATCGGGTATCGTGCTCTCCATCGGCATCATCCTGCACAACTTTCCGGAAGGTGTTGCTGTGGCCGCTCCTGTGTATTATGCAACGGGGAGTAAGATGGAAGCCTTTAAGTGGACGGCACTGAGTGGAATTGCGCAGCCTTTTGGCGCCGCCATCGGCTGGGCAGCAGTGTCTGGTGGTATGAGTTTTGCACTCGAGGCTTCACTGTACGGAATTGTCGCCGGTATGCTGGTGTGTATCACAGTGAAGGAATTGCTGCCAGGAGCCTACAGGTTCGATCCAAGCGGCAAGGCGTTCGTGGTGGCGTTCTTTGGAGGTCTAGGCATTATAGCACTGAGCATCATGGCCTTGAAGTATGCTGGTTCAAGCTAGTCTCGCGGTGATGTAAGTCAAACCCTTGCTGCTGTGAAGGAGGCATTCAAGAATAAAGAAATTGAGTTGTATGGCATGGTATCCAGGGTACGAATCTGCATTGCTTTCATGTACTACTTCGAAGTACGTTGTATTAAACTTGTAAGTAGTAAACCTTTTCTTGATTGCATTTTATTTTCGTGTCCAGCACTTCGCCACTTGGATTGTAGCTTCAATTTCTGAGTAATACACTTCGAACTACATGTACTGTACAGTGAGTGACTCGATCTAAAAAAATGACAATCTTCACATTATCTTACGCATTTAGCTTGATCCTGCGTAGTTTAGAGCAACCAGACTCATGGCAATAATGGCGACGCCAATGAAGAACGACGGTACGAAGAGCTTTCCGCTGGGGTCGAACATGTAGGCACCCGGTAGAAGCTCCTTTGCGGTGATACAGACCAACATTCCGGCAACAAGAGCATACAATGTGGCTTTCAGCGAATTGCTCATACCGCCTGAAACAGCGGCCCAACCGATGCCTGCGCCAAGAACCTGAGCAAACCCACTGATGATCGTCCACTTGAACGCCTCGACCTTGCTTCCAGTAGCATAATAGACAGGAGCAGCGACTGCCACACCCTCGGGAAAGTTGTGAAGAATGATACCAACCGAAAGAACAATTCCCGTACGAAGACCGGCGAGTGAGGATACAAACAGCGCCAAACCTTCCGGGAAATTGTGAATAGCGATGGCAATACCTGTGAGAACACCAGTACGACGGTACTCCTCCTTCACCTTCATTTCCTCAAGAAGCGCATTGTTCTCTTCTCCAGCAGGACTAGCCAGCTCCTGACGAGCTGCGTCAACCGGTGTACCCGGTACTGGAGATGCAATGTGCACAACACTCGCCTTCTCGGTAACGTCGTCCGTCTTCAAAGCTTTCTCGCCATCCGCCTCTAAGTCTGCGTTGGCAGCAGCCCTGGCGGCAGCTCTGTCCTTACGCTCGAACACAGAGTGCACCAGCCACTCCACAAACAGGATGATGGCCACTCCGACAAAGAATACACCAGTAGCGGCCAAATACGTGTTGCCGTTGCATGTGTCGTCGCACACTCCAGCGGTAGTGGAAGCACCACCGTGCTCGTAAGCTTCGGGGTCCGTTGTACCAGGAGTGAACGCAGCACGGTAGTAAATCAATGCCTCGGCGTACAGGTCAGCGAAAGCAATGAAGATCATGACACCGGCCGACAAAGCGAAGGCAATCGAGAGCGAACGCGGGTCGGCGAGGAATTTCAAGCGTTCCACTGAGATGACGAGCACGGACAGCGTCGTAGCAATGCCACCAAGAACACTCATACCCATTGCCGTAGCAATCACAGTGTTGGTGATCTCGGTGCCCGGCGTGATACCATTGTCGTCGGCATAGCCGTCGTCCACGTCCATGATCTTAAACCAGCTCATCATCGCGTTTTCTTCGTGCTCTAAAATGTGACAGTGAGCAACGTACGGCTCGGTCGTGTCAAATCCGTAGTCCTTGGCGCCGCGAGTGCTATTGGCTATGAGGTACTCGTCGGGAGTGCAAGCCACGTAGCAGACCTGGGTGATAGTATCCGAGGGGCGGTCACCGGCATTCGGGATCTTGGCTACATCTTTCAGGTGGTTCGTATCGATGGTTTCTTCTGTTTCGCCACATTGCGCGTTGACCAAGTGCCAGTGGAATGGGTGCGGGTCATCGGTCGGATTCTGGAAGTTCCACTTCTCCACCGTGCCCTTGGTACAGTGAAGGCTGCCGGTGATAGTCGTCATGTTGATTTGCTGCGAGCGGTACATGATCATGTCGTACAGGGGACACTGCATCGCGGTATCCATTTCTCCGAGGATGACGGTACGTTCCTTTCCGCCGGCTTCGTAGAGCTCCTTCAGCGACTTGTACTTCACAAGCGTAGATGGGAGCGCGCGGTACTTCATAGTATCCGTCTTGAGACTCTCGACGACGCGGATGCGCATGATACGTTCGTCGTAATCTGTAGGCTGGTCAGCCGTCTGGTTATCCTCGAGGTCGTACGTGGTGCCATTGGTGGAGTTAGTGAAGTCACAGACGAACTCGATGCGCTCGAAAGGGAAGAGAACGAGGTAGTTTTCAACGACTCGGGTTTGTTAGCGAAACCCGAGTCGGACGCAACGATCTGGCACTTGTCCTGGAACGGCACGGAGATGTTGTAGTGGCGAGCGTTGGCAACGTTGATCAGGCGGAAGCGGACCTGAGCAGGCGGCACGTCGACGTACGGCATGATCACGCCGTTCACAAGGTTAACAGAGCCGAAGGACTCGGGCACCCACTTCGTCGACCCAGCATTGCAGTTGTCGTCCGAGTACAAGAGCTCGCCCGTCGTGTTGATTAAACGGTCAGTCAGCACCAAAGGAATATCTGTCTCGATGTCCATGTTGATCGACGCCTCAAGCTCATTGTCGGCAATGATGTACGCACCCATGAGACCAGCCCACGTGTTGAGGCGTGTGAGACCATTGGAGTGATCGTGATAGAGTTTGGTGGACGCAGACTGGTTGTTGTAGTAGTGGAATACCTGTGACTGATCTTGTAGATGGACCGGTACGGTAGCCCGTCATATTCTGGTGGTGACTTTAGTCCGTGCACGTGTGTGACAACGGGCACACCACAGTACGGGTAGCATGCAGACTCAATGTTGTTGAGAGAATCCTCGACAGAGTTCTGGAACAGGTGCGGCTGTGATAGCTCGTTGTACCAGGTAATGGTGATCGGTACGCCCTTAGCGACCTTGATTGTCGGGCTGGGCATGGTAGGAGTGGAATTTCTAAGCGAGTAGCCATAGATCTCACCCGAGATGGAGCCGTCCCCCGTCCAGTTGTGCGTGGCACGGCCGATCTGCATGTCGATGGCGCCTCCACCGGTCAGATCGATGACTTCCGGAATGGGCAGCTCGCTGACATAGGCGTCCCAATCGGTCTTCAGATTTTCCAGTGCTTCAGTGGAGGCCAAGACGGCGACTGCCACGGCAGCCGACAACGCGGTGCGAGTGAACATTGCTGATGCGAGGTGATCGAGTGATCGGAAGCCCGTAAATTGCAGAATGGAACGAAACTCGTTCGGCAGTGCCTGGGTGGTGCTCGACAGCCAGCGGAAATGCACTCGCCGGGAGTACTGTAACACTTCCTATGTTAATTAGGGTGCTAACAAAGCTTTGAGAACGGCCACCTGGTAATGGTTCTCGTTGAAGCTTCATGTGACGTGACGAAGCAGTACTGTACTCGATAATATCAAATTTAACGGAGCTGATGCTTTGTCAATAAAACCTGCAATACATGTACTCAGTTTTTAGGGATTCGATATCGCGAGCGCAACAGCTTTCGCAGAGTGATACAAACAGCAAAAAGCTCACGTGGACCAGTGCTCCGGCTCAGGACAGTCCACATGCCCCGCTAGACGCGTGGACTAGGCCAATCATGTCGGAGACCACCGTCGAATGTAAGCGAGGCACCCGTCTCGTTTGGCAAAGATTTGCATGTCTGCCCGACTTCCTCCGAGTCGCTCCGAGTCGCAAGTAGCGATCGACTCGACTCGCTACATCTATCCATGTACGCCGCTTGCTGAGATGATACATCACATCATGTAATTTATTATACATGTACATAAGTCTCCTTCAATAAGCGCTGGAGGTCGTCTGATAACTTTTCATAGGGAATCCACGCGATTTTGTGATTTGTCAAATATACCCCCAATACAGAAGATCCGATATAAAGGGGTATTTGAAGTACACGCAACGCTTATTCAGGGGGACTTCTGTACATGAATGGCATACTCAATCGATTGCGCGGTGCCACAACAATCCATGCATGCGATGACATGCAACCCCGTGAGGCTCACGGGTTGCTCACGGTGAGCCCCACATGCAAGGTTACAGTACGCTTCTTCAGCAATTGCAATTGTAGCATTTCTTCCGTCGCTTGGATCGTTATAGTACAGTAGCGTTGGAAACCTGGTTTGGTTCCTCTGTGAGAAAACTTGAACGACGTTACCGCAGCACAACGGCGACAAGACGACAGCTCTTACGGCAACACATCTGCCCCTTATGACACAAGGAACAACATAAAAAATGTGTCAAAGCAACACAGCTCGGTAAACTATTATCCGGGGTCTGATAGATTACCGTTATTGTCAAAGTTACCACTCCGCTCATTCACAAAATTTACATTATAAGTGCTCATTCATCATTTGAAAAAAAAGACTCGCAGTGACCAAGCCAGCTTGGGCTCCATAAACGATTCAGCTAGCACCGACCGGACGCATTCAACTGGCGACGAGGTCCCCCGACGCAATCCCCGCCACAAGGAGCGGATGTGCAAGGAGCTGCTACGGTCTCGACTGCAGCAAATCGAGTTACTGGGGGAGAAGCTCGAGCGACTTTCCGAGTTTTCGCTAAAGCTGATGGATCTTCATGAGGAGATTGCTGTTATACTCGCACGCGAAAAGCATGATACAATGCGTCTAGCAGCTGCAATGGGGGCTTCTGCTCACGACGTCGGATACGTTGTATCGTATGCTATGGCGCTCGAGAAGTGCTGCAGTATTTTGCTGGATCAGGCTTTGTAAACGAATTACAAAAGCGATAAAGGAGGCATAAGGAGGTTTACGTAGCAAAGTTAAGTCGACAAACGAATGCATATTACATTTTAAACGCTGAAAACAGTTCCTGACCGGTCGCTTCTACCGCTTTCGCTCGCTTATTAGTACTGGTGCGCTTTTGTCTGGAAGTGTAATAGCTGCTAGTCGTTGCGGCTTCGCCACCGCTTTTATCCGCGCCTGTTTCACCTTCTTTCGTTGATTGTGCCGGGGCTTAGCTTTGGGTAGCTGAAGTACTTCAATCTTGTCGTTTTTTCGCGCAGGTGGTTTTGAAACAGCCTTTGCCTTTGTTTGTACAATTTCCTTTGTCAGTAGCAATTTTTGCTTAGGCGGCGTAGACCCCGACTCAGACGAATCCAGTTTTGTCTCCCACGTTTGCGTCAAAGTTAGGAGTTTGGTGTTGCAGCTTGTGCTGGTTGATTTACGGCTTGTGATGCTTGTTTTGGAATCCGACTTCACGAAATGTTGTCGCTCGTGGTCATGGGGGGGGGGCTGTACATTGCCTTCCGCAACTAGTAGACCGTGTTCAGCTTGCTCCATGTCACGAATCATTGCCATTGTGTCGATGAGATCAGCTGGATCAATGTCAGATCCTGTATCACTCTCGTTAGCATCACCAGCAGTATCGTTCGTGCTATCGTCGGGCATCGTTATCGCATCTGACGTGTATGTTGGTAGCTTTTGCATGCCATTGCGAACTATCTCTTTCCACGATTGCAGTGCTGGGTAGAATGCTGGACTGGTTAATCCGGCAAAATACTCAATTACTGGCTCGAACGCAGCTTTTGCATAGCAGTACTTCTCTTCCGATAAAAACACCACCACATTTGCCTGTTCACGTCGCCTCAGCTTAACATATACAACTCGCGGCTTTTTAGTCCGAGATCGCAGTCCACTCCGCTCAACCCCACGCGGCGGTGGTACGTCCGGGTTCACACCTTGTGTTGCCGAAAAATCGTCTTGTGTTGCTTTCCATACTTCTTGTGTTGTTTCGGTTTCTTGTCCTGTTTCGTAAACTTCACTGACGTCGGATGGA